AGACTGTTGCTGGTCAGTGCTGATCAGTGCTGGTGAGCAGCAGCTTACTGGTGTTTGTGAGATAGACCCACACCACAGACTATTGCTGGCTGGTGCTGGGGGAGAGATACCCATAGTGCTGAATAAAACAACAGCCACACCTTTACTTCTCCCCCCTGAGAACAATACCTAAAGCAGAGCCATCCTGCTCCTCACTTCACTGAGACCTTTACTTTCATTTTTTATGTCTCCCTTTATGCCGCAGTTTACAGCATGCACAGAACAACCAGGACCTGACAGAGGGATCTATGCCTATCAGTATGTCTTATTTCCGGGGTATCGCTTATATTTTGCAAATGCTTAGAAATTCTGCTACAGCTTATTTTATGGGTATGTTTTATTTTAGGGGAAACAGGGTAGTATCATTGCTTTTATGCCTCAGTATGACCAAAGTTTAGAAAAATGATCATTGTTAGAAATCTCAAGTGTCCTCCCTTCTGAAGGAAGTTCTGCAACAACTGGCTGGACTTTCTCCCTCATGCGGCAGGAAGCTGAAAACAAGGCAGAAGTCAATTACCTTTAGGATATTCAGAGCAGGAATCAGGGATTGGCATCTACAGTCTGGGCAATGACTTTAGCCATCTCCTTGCTACAAATCCAATGTTTTTCCCTTGTGCAGCTAGAACTGGCAATAATCCCGTGGGTCAAGTATGCACATCTTCTCCCCCCATCCGTGCGAAGCCTGGAGAGCAACAAAACTCTTTTAAACAAAGGAATGAAAGTTAGCATGAGGTCAGCTGGTTGGAGTCCCATGCCACCTCCTGACATGAAGACTGAGCCAGCTTGTCACTTGAGGCTGAAATGACATGGCCATCATTTGCCTTCACAAAGGGTATCATTACAATTATTATTCGCTTAAGGCCTGATGCAGGACAATAAAAAGGTATTGGAGCTCTGTTGAAGTAGTGTTGAAACTGACCTTTAAAGCCCTAATGGTTTGGATCCAGGTTACCTACAGGATTGCCTTCTCCCATACAATCCGCCTCAAACACTGAGGTCCTTTGTGGGGCGTCTGCTCTATCCTGCCAGAACCCAACTGCAACCACCACCCAAAGGGCCTTTCTATCAGCTGCCCCAAGACTGTGGAACGACCTGTCAGAAGCACTCTGACAGCTAAATCAGCTGTCACAATTGAAGACACAAGTGAAGACCTATCTCTTCTAGCTGGTCTACCCAGACAATTTTGATGACTAATTTTAATCTTTGGTTTGTGTTTTTAAATATGTATTTTATGGAGTATTCTATGGAATGTTTTTAAACGATTATGTGTTTTAGCAATGTTGTAACCCACCTCGAGCCATGAGGAGAGGCGGGTAAGAGCTGTTGTTGTTGTTGTCCTGCTCCAATCCTGTGATGAATTACCAGCATTTAAAATGTCATCCTATTAGTTAAGACTGTTGTGGAGTCTATCAGTTCCAGGCAAGGATTGTTCTACCCTAACAGGGAGTTTTGTTATAGTCTATTATGATAACATATGTTCTTTACAGATCTGTTATCTATACACCTGTCCTATTTGTCTGTTTGACTGCTTGTCCCTAAAAGATCTTCTCTCTCTGGACTTGCTCTCATATTTTAGTTTTCTTCTGTTTGACATGTCTTGCTCATGCATCTCTTTTCAATCTCATTCTTCCACTCATTCCACCACTCATCTCCCTTATTAAGTTCCACAATAAAGTTTAATTTATATCATTAGTTCATTGACCAGACTAAACAGATTCAATACTGAAGCCAGAGGTTGTTTCACTTATGATTTGTGAGCTATTAGACCAAGGTGCTAGATAGAAAACTGGAGAAGGATCCTTTGTCTTCAATGTTTGTGCAGAAGTGGGAATATCAAGTGTTATTTGTTGCAAATAATAATAATAATAATAATAATAATAATAATAATGCAAAGACTCTGGCATAAGCCAGTAAAGGTGGTCCCAGTGGTGATCGGCACATTGGGTGTAATGCTTAAAGACTTTGGCCTGCACTTAAAAACAATTAGTGCTGACAAAATTAGCATCTGTCAGCTGCAAAAGACCACTCTACTCAGATCTGCATGCATTATTTGGTGATACATCACACAGTCCTAGACACTTGAGAAGTGTCCAATGTGTGATCCAATACAAAAGCCAGCATAGTGATCTTGTTTATTGTGTACTAATCTTGCTGTGTATCTAATAATAATAATAATAATAATAATAATAATAATAATAATAATAATAATTCTTTATTTGTAGACTGCCCTATCTCCCCGAATGGACTTGAGGTGGTTTCCAACATATATGTTAAACATTCAATGCCAATGAGGAGAAGACATATAAACAAATTACATCTAACAGAACACATCAAACAATTAAACAGCCTAATTTTAAACAAACAACATTAACCAAAGATAAAACTTTGGACAAGCATTGAAGCTCTTTTCATTTCTCAACCTGCCAACTTTAATTAGGGTATTTAAAAGATACTCACCATTCTTTGTAGATGCTACCATTGACCCATCTCCAGGGTTGACCCGAATCCCTCTGGAGACCAATCCAATGATCAGAAGAGGTTTTGTAGCGTAAGAGAAAATTCTTAATAAAGGAAGGAAACATAAATTTCCAACTTCAATTGGATTAACTTCTTATATGAGAATTAAACAAAGCAAAAATAAAACTGTTTGCATGTGAAGATGTGGAGTCTGGGATATACTAGTCTTTTCAGATCTTCACCCCACTCACAATTTTTATGCATACTTTCAAGAAACTCTATTCCAAACCTTCAGTTTAGAACTTGGAAATAAAGCTGTGACATTCACCTTTCCTTAACAATTGCCACTTCGGTTTTATTTATTCTGTTTGACATTTTTATATAGTTTTTCTTTCTTGGAAGAAACTCAAATCAGATTACAACAGGATAAACCAAGAAGAAACAAAATGATATAATGCAAGTGCTATATAACTGTGTCCAACTCCTCTAGGATTAATCATATCTCTAAATTTTTATGCCTACCATCTCTTCTTGCGAGTCAATCAGAGCCAAGGAGGCATTGTAGGAAGAACAGTGTGTGCTGCTAGAGGTCCAGTTTCCTTTCGTCTCTGAAAAGTAGTAGCATTTCCTTTGATACCCGATCCAGCCATTTGGGCAGGGATCAGCAAGAACAGAAGGGTGAGGAACTGTACATTTTTCAAATATTCCCCCTGATGATAAAAAGGATCCAGATTAGCCAAGCCTTAGCTATTAGACCATTAGTAACTAGCAGATTAAGCAAATAATATGCAATGAATCTAATGATAACATTATTGAGTGCTCAGATATATGTTAAGAATCTGCAAAATATTTTTAAAATGAACAGTCCAACTGTACAGTGTAATTTGACCAATGCAGTTCTTCACTCACCTCCTAATAAAACAATAGTAGTAATCAGAACAAGGAGAAGAAAAATAAGCATCACAATCCCAAAACAAAGATATCTTTCTTGTATCTTCCACTTTCCTTTTTCACTCTTACAAAAGCAAGCGTTCTTCCAGGCAGACCCTTAAAAGTAATTAAAAGCAAGGTTGAATCACTAGTAGGAACGCAAAATAAAACATCAGTGAACAAGAGGAGTTTTAAAAGGATACATTATTCTTCAGGTATGATTGTCAGCTTTTTTTTCTTTATTTGTCCTTGCCTTCCTCCTGTTTTCAAATATCAATTAATACCCCCTTTCAAACAATGACCACCTTTGAAAGCAGGCAACCAATGTGTCAAAGTAATTCCCTCCACTTCTTTTCTGTTCCTAGCATATCTGTATGTTTGAGAAAAACCATTCAGAGCTTACTGAAATTTTAACTTTTATCCAGTTACAGTGTCTGCAGTCATGTTTTGCATCAAAAGAATTCTGCTCCCTGAAAGCCGTCAACTCAAATTCAAACATCTGCCTGATAACTGTCTCTCAAAGCAATTACTATATTCTCAACTCAAGAATGGGAAACATAATGTTGGTGGACAGGAAAAGAGATTTAAAGATGGGCTTAAAGCTAACCTTAAAAATTGTGGCATAAATACTGAGAAATGGGAAGCCCTGGCCCTTGAGCACTCTAGCTGGAGGTCAGCTGTGTCCAGCAGTACTGTGAAATTTGAAGAGGCATGAATGGAGGGTGAAAGGGAGAAGCAACTGAAATGTGCCAAGAGGAAGGCACATCAAGCCAAACCTGACTGGGACCGCCTTCCACCTTGAAACTGATGTCATAACTATGCAAGAACAAGCAGGCCAAGAATAGGACTCCACAATCCAATACACCTGGAGGGCCAAAGTTTGCCCATGCCTGCTCTAGTGCCTTATCAAACTACACATTCCAGGATTTCTTATTGTCTTGCCATGATAGTTCAGTGTGAAAACTGTGTAGTATTAAATGACATGAAGTCAATTTTAAAACCTAGATCACAGAGTTTTCTGTTCATTTATGTCATGTACTTACCTACTTAAGAGATGAGCTTGAAATCTTTAGGGCCAATGACTATACAGTACATTCTTTCCCAAAGTCTCTCCCCAATGTGCAAGGGTTACATGAGAAGCTGTGAAGGCTTTTTTCACGATTTTAGGAGAGCTAAAAATATGCATATTCTCTCTCCCTATCTATCTAGTATCTATCTACCTTTTGCTTTACTGTAATCTGTGATCAAACAGGTTTGAGGAGCAATAAATATCCTGCAGATCCGTTTTCCAGGGATGTAAATGGGACAGATATATGTACAGTAAGAAGAGAAATTGACCTCTACGCAAAAGAAAGGAACGTTTCTGTTTTAGATGTAATGGGCTTGTCTTATTACTTAATTTATATCTGGAGATAAAATCCTGCCTGTATTATCACAACTTACCATTTTTCAAATACTCAGAGGATCTTCTGCTCAAAGGTACTTTTTCTTCTCCGTTCATAGCTCCATTCTCTTTTCCATTTGCATTCAGTAAAGAATTGTCCTTGCCCTCTTCTCCAATGTAAATTTCAACCATTTCAAACACATATAGATCTTATAGTTGCTCTGTATTTGTGAGTCCTTTCCAAACTGTGTTGACCCAACCTGTGTTGATCCAATGAAGAGTTTTCTTGGCACTATATTTTCAGAACAGGTTTGCCATTGCCCTCCCTCTGAGTCTGAGAGAGTGTCCAAGGTTACAAACCCTGATTTTCAGACAAGTAGTCCAATGTTCTATATCACACTGGATTCTGTCAGTCTTGATAGCCTACAATAAGCTGACTATTTCAGGATATTTTATTCATATCATGCTTCAAGTACTCCTTAGTCACAAAATTTATTTTATGGCCATACAAACTGGGCTGGCTGAATAGTCCCTGTTTTCTGAAAATATTCTTCCCTTGAGGTTTGTCTCCAAAATCCACCTGCAGAGTGAAAACACATACAATAGAAATAGTTAATTCTTCTTTTTATTTCCACAGGCTGCCTAGAACATTTGTTCCAGCTTATTTTGGCTGTGCTTCTACAGCTATTCAGCAAAGGTGGCACAGTGAATTTACAACTCTTCTCAAAGAAGTGTACCTAGATGCTGTATTATAATTCCCAATATCCACAGTCTGATAGATAAGTAATTAGAGGCTACAGAAGTTGTAATCCAGTAACATATTATGATGGTCCAGACACATTCAGACAGTGTCAAAATGAGGATTAAAATAAGTGGAGCAAAAAACAGTGGGACATGACAGCACGTCTAAACACAGACCTGTCAGTCGGGGTAAATAGTCCCCCATTATCCTAACACCTTTCTTTATAGCAGATTTTAGATAAGATGGGCAGGGGGCATCCGGATGAAGTTTAAAAAAAAATTCTCCAAGATCCATTGGACCTTATATGTGCTCATGCAAATATTTAAATGTACACACAAGCAGATTTCTTATTCTCTCAACTATAAATTCAAATTCTGTTTGGTATCATAAAGATCAGAACAAAGGAATGGTTGCAGAGAGTTCTCACTGTAATTGTTTTCCAATTGTGCTTCTATGTAGCATCGGTTTGTCCATGGCTCCATTTTGTGAAAGCCCTGATCAGCTGTTTCAGGATTTTAAAATGTGCACATGCACTGGAGCAGTCCACACCAGGTTATAGGAAGTCACATATTTTCCATGACTTCAGAGATATACAGTCATGCAAATAGTTTTTTGGGTGCAACCGGATTTAAGCTCACCATTTTAACATATGTTTTTCAGCTGTTAACCCAAATCAGCGCACATCGTGAAATATCACTTAGCCACCACCACACTTATCCCAGTTTCTTCCGGATTTTAGGACATATGTAAAAGGGCCTTCATTGACTGACTGAAAGAGGACAAAATAACCTAGCTTTATTGTTCTTCTGTTGTCTGAGGGCCCTTCCACATATCCATATAACCCAGAATATCAAGGCAGATAATCCATACTATCTGCTTTGAACTGGATTAGCTGTGTGGAAAGGGCCTACACTGTTCTTATATCCCAGGATCTGATCACAAGTTATCTGTTTTGAACTGGATTTTATTATTTATTTATTTATTTGTTTGTTTGTTTATTTATTTGACTTGTATATCGCCACTCCCAATTTGGCTCGGAGCGGTTTACAGCAGTAGATTAAAACAATACAACCAACTTTAAAATACAATAAAAACGAGAACAGACATAGTCCCGAGTTGTTCACCCATCAAAAGCTTGTCAGAAAAGAAAGGTTTTAAGCCCCTTCCACACAGCTGTATAAAATCCACATTGAACTGAATTATATGACAGTGTGGACTCAATTAATCCAGTTCAACAGATATTGTGGACTATCTGCCTTGATATTCTGAGTTATATGACTGTGTGGAAGGGCTCTCAGTCTCCACTGCTATATAATCTGGGATAAACAGATAATCTGGGATCAAATCCTGGGATATAGGACCATGCAGAAGGGGCCTCAGGTCCTCTCTGTACTATCATATAATTCAGAGTAGCAAAGCAGATAATCCACATTATCTTCTTTGAACTGGGTTATACGAGTCTCCACTGCCATATAATCCAGTTCAAAGCAGATAATACTGAAATAATGAAAGCAAAACTGAAAAATTGGAGAAATATTTACCTGGCTAGCCTTTTGTCAGGTGATATCAGCGGCATAAACACGCTTCTTGCTCACTCTCCTCATGCCCTTGATTGTGTGCCTTTGCCCACAGAGATTGATTTTGCTGTGTTTTGCTCTTGTCCTGTATAAAATAGTCTGCTCTTCCAGATGATGTAAATAGCCCCAATGCTTCAGATGCTGACAGTCCCTGTTTTTAGCCCAAAAAAACCTACAACAACCCAGTCCCTGTTTTTCTTAACATATTCTTTTGTAATGGTCTGTCTCCAAGATATACCTGTAGAGAGAGAAAATACACACAATAGAAATAGTTTATGTCTTTTGTTTCACAGTATAGGCAGTCTCCGAGTTATAAACATCTGACTTACAAACGACTCCCAATTAAGAACAGGGTGAGACAACAGGAAGTGAGAGAAATCCATTGAATCTTTCTCACCAATCCTTGTTTCCATTTCCCCCCAAAATCGAATTATTACAGGAACAGAAATCTTCTGAACAGGGGCACAGACAGCAAACCAAATGTCACAGGAGTGCTAAACCTTTCCTATGCTTTCCAAAGCTAAGAAAAGTAATTTGTTTGGCTGGAATTACATTTTAAAAATGTACCTGTTCAGACTAGCATCATGATTTGGAAGGGAGAAGGTTATTAGAAAACGTAATATTTTAGAGGAGAGCCAAAAACCCATTTGAATATAATCTTCAAATGGTATGCAATCAAATGTAATTATCAAGACAATTGCTTCAGTTGTTAGACTGAATAACCGGTTGTCTCTGATCTGTTTTGGAAATGGCAGTGCGTAAAATAGTAGTGCTTTAGATATGTTTTTCAGTGCCCAAAATATATATCTCCCTTTAAACAACTTATTTTATATTATGCACTCAAGAGACAAAATGAAGTAAACTTTGATTTAAAAAAATAACATATTTGGTTTACTCACAACCTTCATGTGTTCAGCACACACAGGTATACAAATTATCACTCAGTTACAGGTATGTTTGAGATAGTTTCTGTGCCATTCGGTCAGAATGTCTCTCTTACAATCAACAACAAACGTTCTCAAGTCTGTGATCTGAACAGTCCCAAAGTCTAAAGGAGTCTGTGCTCCTCTTAGAGTGGATCATCTGAACTGCAGCTCCTCCCACAATTTCTCAAGGAAACATAGAGCAAGGAAAGAAACATGCATACAATAAGCAAGCAACAGTATTATACCTACCCCCCCCCCACCCGGAAAAGTGCAAGTTTGGGGGATGACAGTTGAAATGGGATCAAACTTGATTAATTCTACAATGTAGATGCACCCAAAAAGATCTAGAAATAACCAAGAACTTTACCGCCGAAGGCTGGGGCCACAAAGTGGAGTCCACAACATGTGAGTGGAGAAGAGCAAACCACAGAGCACCTATTACAATGCAGACTGAGCTCAGCCGCATGCACAATGGAGAACCTTCTTATAGCACCACCAGAGACACTCCAAGTGGCCAGCTACTGGTCAAAGGACGTTTAGTATAATGCCAAGTTTTACAACTGTACCCTAGGTTTGCTTCTGATATCATAAATAAATAACCTCCAAAGGCAGGTCCCTCCATTTCCTTTTGGTTTCTAGCCTGATAAGAGGAGACGCCTGTTCAGAGAGGTGGAAGGTTGGACCTGATCGGGGGGGGGGGGGGGGGGGGGGGGGGGGGGGGGGCGGGGGGGAGGGTGCCGAGCCATGGGGCGGGTGAAAAGGGACCAGAAATAAACCTAGTTGAGAGAGCCAGGTGGAGGCAAACCTATTATATTATTATTATGTTTATTATGTTTATTTATATCCTGCTTTCTCTCTCTACAAAAGAGACTCAATAAAACCAAATTAAATACAATTTAAAACCTAAAAACATGCAAGCATGTAAGTAGTGTAGGGGCAAAGAAACCAAAATATTTCCCAAAAATATATTAATGTTATTTTTTTAAAAAAGGTACTGTTTCATTATCTGAGCAGAAGCCAAAAAAAAAAGGTGGGGGTAGAGACAGAAGGATAGTCCATTTCATGGGGGGCGGGGAGTTGAAGGAGAAAAACTATTTACCCTGTTTTTGCTTAGTTATTCCCCTCCCCACTTCTTTTTTTTTTTTTTATAAATTTTTTATTGATTTATCACTTTATTACATACTATTACATTTTGTACATCA